TAAACTGCTCTGCATTATTGTCATCTCTATCTGCTTTTTTTCAACTTTTTTTATATTTCTAGATCAGTAAAGAAATGTTTAATTTTTTAATCTTTACATTTTACTTGTGTGTTTGGGTTTTATTTCTACCAATAAAAGGATTATTTATTAAGATTGAAAGTAAAACTACTTTAACCTATCACAATATTTTCTCATCTACAGTTTTTGTAGTACATTTGCCACTAGGATTAGGATGGAAGAAATTGCAGAAGCAATTTTCACTGAGAGGTTGATATGGGTTTGTGTCATCTTTGTAATTATTAACTGCTTTTTATCTTTGTCCCTATTCTCTGTCATGTGAACTACAACTCAGACATCAAGCTGCCCTTGCCTTCGTATTCTCATCCTTCTCTCAAATTAGTTCACTTGACTTGTACCACAGACGTTCCACGTGCTCCAGCCTCTAAGTGCCAGATGGTACGGGTTTACTATATAGTCGTTAATCTGCAAATTACCAGAAACGCTGTCTTTTGCAATTTATGACAGTGCATTAAATTGCCAGTTATGTTACACAATAACCAGGTAATGGTCACAATATGTTGGATCAAAGGCATTCTTCTGGATCCTCTATTGCTTCATGTGTGTGTGCCGTCCGTTCTCATAGCCTGGATTAAATTATGGAACAGGAACAGATGGATGGGATTAATTTATCACCCTCAATCAATTATGTTCTGTAAGTGAGTTACCTCAACCACAGAGTTATCCTTTTACCTGTGCCCATCCATCACATGGTTTGCTAACAGATTCCATAGAAAACAATAAATATATCATATAAAGGTTTCTACGTGTGAAACAGTCAAAAGAAATGTGCTGCTACCCCCAAACTGGTAGAATCATGGAATTAAAACATATTCATTTTATTTCATCTTTCATTTTCTTGGACTAGAGAAAATCCTATGCTTCTGTATTTAAATATGGAGTCATGACCTTACATGACTTACTAAATGTCACACCAGGGAAGCAGAATCATTTTACTTCTATATTTATTTTAAGCTGTTTCCCATACAAGCTGTGGTTAAGGAGCCAACATATCAAGATGAAAGGTGAGTATAAATTCAAACACACCTAGAGAGGCACCAACAGTAGACTGGCATATTTTCGTCTCACAGTAAACAACTATGATGTCAAATTAATACTGGAGTTGAGGACAGGGCCTGACCTATAAACAAATCTACTTCCCCTGTCCGTTATTCATGACCAACATAAGATACTCTAAGATTTAAATACACATTTTTATCCTATCTTATCTTACTTACTGCTTGAGCAACAGTGACTATGACAAGCGTGTACTCACACACAATGTTGGGCAGATGGTAGCCATTAAAGTTCAGTGATGCCTGATAAAGCCACAAGATAAAAAAGATCACAGAAGAGACTGGATCACAGCATGCCAAGGAGTAACCAACCAAATGAGACTGCAACTGATACTGTTGGAGAAACAATTATGTTGACTTACTGGACAACTATGTAACATCCATTATGTACTGCTATAGGATTTCAAAATTAACTACATATAAATGAAAGATTTTGAGAAAACAAGATTCTCAGGCCATGACACCACTAAACAATTTGATTTTG